CGAAGCCGGCGCGGGCCGACCTCCCGAGCGCCCCCACCTCCCGCCGCGAGCTGCGGGTCCGCCTCCCCGGGGATACCTCCTCCCAGGGGGCTACGGCGAGCGCCTGCCCCGTGCAGCGATTCTCCGCGGGAAGGGCCGGAGCTGGGCAGGGGTTGTGTCAGCGGGGGTGGGAGACCCCGTGGGCGTGGGGCCTGGAGAGCTACTTCCCCCAGCGGCGGGCCGGTGCCCTCGCCATCTTCCTGGGGCACCCAAGGCCAGGAGACCATTCCGGGTAAGGCAGGACTAAAGGGCGCAGGAGGAGCGGGAAAGATGTGACCACACAGCATCCACCCTGGCAGGTGCTGGCCACTGGGCCCCACAATGCCTGATTTCGACCCTCCTGGCTGGAGGACTGAGGACTGAGTTCTGACTCCTGAAAACCTGTTCTCAGTTTTCCCTAAAGGTCCAAACTCCCTGGCCACAACTCTCTCACCCTGCAAAGGCTCCCTGCCCTCTCCTTCCAGGCTGCCAGCCCACAGTGCCCCACAGCCACTCCTGGGCCCCCAGGGAAGTGAACAGGGTCCTGTTGCCTCTCTGATACTAAGGCCCAGGGGCTGCCAGCTGACCCATTTCCTCCTCTGGGTGCACTGACCGAGTGTCCAGACACCTGCCCAGAGCACCCTCCTCTGGAGGGCCCTTTGCCCCCACCTGCCCCGGCTCTCTGCTAGGAGCCAGCTGGCAGTGCCACAGGTCCATCAGCCAAAGGGTGGCCCCGGCGTCATTCCCCCACTATTGGGAGGTCTCTGAGCAGCTTGGGGAAAGTGTGAGAGCCCGTCAGAGCCGCTTGTACAGCCCTGGTTTGTTTTGTTTTTTCAAAACGCTTTGATACACGTGAAGGTAGCTGGAGCCTCTCCTCCAAAGCGGTTGGCAGCATGGAATTAAAGAACAGCAACAGTGGGAGTCGTGCCCCGGCTCCGGCCCGCAGGCCCTCACGCTGCAGGGCACAGCCCCCGCCCAGCCCTGCTGCATTCTCCGGGCCCGGCAAGCAGTGAGCGCCCAGTGAGTGGCCGCCCAGGAGTGAGCCTGCTGCAAGAGGCATCTGAGACCCCAGTGAACAGGCAAAGGAAGTGGAGACCCACCCGTGTCCGCAGCTGGTTGTGGGCAGCTGTGTCCAGACTCTCACCCAGCGCTCCTTCCCTGATGCCCTCTGGCCCGAGAGCCATCTCACTGACGGAAAGCATACGGGGTACAGTTAATATTTCACAAGACAGCAGTAACTGCAGATCCGTCTGATGGACAGGCACGGACGGGCTGGCTTTTGTTTCTAAGTATCCCAGGGCCTCCATGGGAACATTGCTTGAGGTGAAGTATTTCATGAATCAGGCTTCTGATGAAACATCTGTGCCCACACTGTCCCCATGGGGCTCCTTCCCTTCTAAAGAACCACATGTTTCACAATAAGGCCTCATTCCATCTGTTGGACACCCTGCAAGAGCCATTCTGAAGGCTTCCCATCAGAACAGAAAGCAGGAAGCAGCAGCAGAGACACAGCAAGTGCTGACCTGGATGGACGGTCATTTCAAGCTCAGAGAAGGGAAGGCAAGGCTGAGGACTGTGTCATAGTGCGGACAGTGTGTTCAGGGTACACAGCCCCCCGCAACAGAAGGCCACAATCCCTGAAAAAGACAGAGATCTGACCTGTGAGCATGGCCACTCTGGTCATGAAGAATAAACCAGAGCAGAGAAGCCAGGTTGCCGGCTCCTGGGAGAAGAATGAAGGCAGGCGGGGAGGGCCTGAGGGGTGGAGGGTGCGGCCAACACGGCCAGAGCCTAGAGCAGGGGCTGCAGACGTCTTCTGTGTAGGGCCAGAGGGTAACTAGTTCAGGCTTTGCAGGTGATGATCTGCGTTGGAGCTACTCAGCTCTGCCCATGCAGCCAGAAGGCAGCTACGGGCAAAACATCAGTGAGTGGGCTGGCCGTGTGCCAATAAACCTTTATTCACAAGAACAGGCAGTGGCTGGATCTGGCCAGTGGGCTATGGGTTGCTGACCCCTGGTCTAGAGAGAGGACCAAGAGAAGTGGGCTCCGGGCCGGGGAACAACGTTATTGTCCTTCATCACTTCACTTCCGAGGTCAGCAGATGACCTGCATTCCAGTAGCATCTTATCATAAAGGACTGCCCACAGGAGCAAGTGGCCACGGTGGTGCTGCACAGGGGTGTGAAGACTGTGGCCGCCCTAGTGCTGCAGGCCCGCCCAGAAAGCTGGGCCAGGTGGCCCATTCATTCCACAGCAACCGTGGGGAGAACAGAGCTGGAAATGACCCCAGGTCTGAACAATCTCTCAGGACACTGAATAAAATGAATAAACACAGGCCGTTCTTCTCTGCTACTGTGAAGGAAAAGCCCAGCTGGGCTAACAGCTAACTCACAAATCTAAGTGTAACAAGTGTCGGATTACTGATCTGAGTTCTGCTGGGCTGACTTGTAAATCTGAGTTAATTATTGTTGGTTTGCTGATTCCCTGTTCATGTCTTTTTTGCTAGCCAGCTGGGTTTTCAAAGAGACATATCTGGCCTTGAAATGTTGGTTTCCTGCCTCCCTGCCTCTACTTTTGTGATAATGATGTTGCTAAAGCTGTTCCATGCCTATTGGCCAAATACCCCAAGCTTGTAATTAACCCTATAAAACCTCATGCACATGTCTTGGAGGTGCTCAGAGCTTCGGAGCAGAAGCCCCTCTGAGCCCGCCGGCGTAATAAATCTGAGTACTCCAACCCTCCGAGTGGTGCTTGTTTCTTGGCTGGCCTGTCATTTCCGTAACATTTCAAGTCCACTCTGTGGTTTGCTGCAGAGCCCATCCGTCCTGACCACTCTGTGTACTGGCCAGGGTCACCTGGCAGGGGAGGAGTGGGGAGGGCAGGGAGGCCCGTTCACTTAGCAGGTCCCCCCTCCACATGTCAGGCTCCTCATGTCTGTTTGCAGACCTCATGACCCAGTGTGGCGGGAAACCTCCTCACTCCCTGGAGATGATGGAGTGGGGACTCCGGGACCTCCCAGGGCTGGTATGTGAATGCCTCTGCAGACCCTGCATGCATCTCGGTCAGCCAGCCCACAGTCGTTTCCTGAAGCCTCACCACAGGCAGGCCGTCTAGGGGCTGGGGCTCTGGGAAAAGGAGGTGCTCAGACCCACAGTCCAGGGGAAGAACAACGGAGACCACCTCAGGTCATGATAAACATCGAGGAGTCGGGGTAGGGGGGCGGGGCTTGGGCAGGAGCTGGAGACAACGGGGCTGGTGTCAGGCCAGGCTGGAGGGCCCTTCTGAGCTGGGCTGGGAGGAAGTAATGGATCGAGCTGGAAGAATCTGATGAATGGCATCTGAACCCAGGGACAAGCAAGTGCAAAGGCCCTGAGGTGAACTCTAGTTGTGTGTCTGAGGACCAAGAGGCACACCATGGTGGCTGATGGAGTGTGCCGGCAAGTGTGGCATGAAATGAGGGGAGGTGGGCAGGGGCCAGATCTCTCAGGATCTTCTGGCCCCTTGATCAGCTGCCTATTGCACAGGACCCTGTGCTGGTGGGTCAAACTGCAGTGAGCCCTCAAACCGTGGTGCTGGCTGAGGCCCCGGGAAGGAAAGCCAAACCCAGAACGAGAGAGTGTCTGTCCTGCCCAGGTGCATCTCAGTCCCGTCTCCCCGTCCCTCTGTCCCAGCCGCAATGGCCGCCCCCTTCCTGATCACCAGCTAGCACTGGACTGGCTGAGGACAGAGGCTGATGGTCGTCAGCTGGCTAAGGCATTGCCCTCCCAGGCTGTCTAGCGTCTCGTCTGTGCTGGACACCCCAGTGGCCTAAGTGTGGGGTTTGAGAATCTCCACACTATGGCCCACCCCAGTGCCTCTTCCAGACCTTCTTGTCCCCAATTCTCCAGTCTTACCTCTTTCCAGCCCCCTATCAGAGGGTAAGTAAGGCCATTCCTGCCCTCCTGTGAATCCATTTGTGGTCAGTGCCCTCTCCCAACATAGAGCAGAGGAGGAGGTGCTCCACGTGGGGCCCGGGACCTCCCGCTCACCTACGCATCTTGCTTATGTGCCAAGGCTGTGAGGCCATTTCCTCGGGTTGTTCCTACAGCTGGTAACCCTGAGAGCTGAGGGAACATCGCCCCTAGACCAAGATGAGGACTGCTCACTGCTTGCTGGTAAAGGGTGGAGCCAGAGCCCTCTGTTCCTTCCTGGTATTGCTGTGCACCCGAAAGCGTGTGCAGCAAGCATCCACCGAGCCCCTTGCGTTACTCCCATGGAACTCAGGGGTCAGGGGACTGATGCAAATGTGCCAAAGCCATGAGGAATAAACTGACTTTTGTCTCTGACCCAGGAGTCAGTCTCCTGCTGGCATTTGTGAAGGAGTAACAGGCTTAGTGACCTGTAGGTGGGGTCAAACCAAGTCCCAGGCCAACACCTGGCCGTTGCAGGCATCAGCCCTTCACCTCTGTCCTCCAAGGCCACCTGAGATAGACATCCAGCAGCTCTGTCCATTTCCACCCACACACTGCGCAGGCCACCCTTACCAGCTGATCAGAGGAGCCCCCGTGTGGCCACAGGCACTGGTACAACGGTGGAGGCGGCGTGGGGGGCTGGGCCACCTGTGCGCCAGCTTTCTGCGCCCTGCCCCACACCCCCTCACACCCGGTCCCACTCACCTGGGACTCTTGCTGGGCCCACGCACCCTGAGGCAGAACCCAGGCAGGGAAGATGGGTCTCAGGGCGAGAATCTGACTGATAAACTCTTCACAACGCTGCAAGTCCCAGCAAAGCACAGCGCCCAGGACAAAACACAGAAAGCACAGCGGCTGTTAAACTACTGCGTGGGAGTGCTGCTCCCTTTTTCCAATTCCTTACATCGTTTTTACGACAAAAATGGTGGGGTTGGATGGGACGGAAGGTCCTATAGCAAAATCCCACTCTCCCCCACTGAATCACCACTCCTCATCCTGCCACGGGTCTCTCCTACAGGCAGGTCCTCCATCAGCCTCCGGGACCCTGGGCTTCAGATGTTGCTGTGATGTCCTGGGAAAGCAACCTTTGACCTCTGTGAAAGAAAAAATTATTCTGACATATGTTAAAAGGATAAGGAAGACTTTACTCCAGATTACTGCATTAGAGGAGAGAGACTGGGCTCAACTCCAAGTTCAACAAGGAAAAGGGGGGCTTATGAGAGAGGGGTCCATAGATAGAAAGTTACTAAGAGACTTCAAGGGCAGGGGATGTTGCTAAAGACAGGCCAAGAAGACTAGATACCACCTGGGGGAACGAGGAGCTTAATCAGATAATGAGGGTGATCAGAGACCAAAGGTGGGGGTGACTTAGCAGGATCTTTGCTAAGACTGGGCTGGGCAGGCCAAAGACAGGACCAGGGCCTGGTGGGGAGAGCTCCCCTAGGAGGCTAAGTTTGGTCTTGTCGCCTCTAACGGGTCTGAGATCCCACATACCTGTCTTAATGTACCGTGCTGCTGTGAACGAAAAGCTGCCTGCCACGTCAGTAAACAAAGGACACTGCGGCCATCAGGTCATCACCCATGACCACAGCCCTGGTGAGCCAAGGGAACTCAGGAGGGAGACAAGCGGGCAGCCCGGCCTCTGCAGCCACCCCCAGCGGTGCCCCCGCGGGGACTCAGGATGAACAGCGAGGTGCACGTCAAAGGGACAATTTCTACGAGCCCAGACTTCGCACTTTCCCACACAGAAAAGTGCTAAATCCCTTGACGTGAGAGGTCTGGTTTTCTTCAGTTAACAGTCATTTTTTGCTGTTCCAACTACCCGGTCTTTGCTGCAAAAGCTCCTATATCCTGGCTTCTACCTTGCCACTTCGGGGCCGTCCCTCAGAGCTCTGGGAGGCCGCATCCCAGCCCGCGTGCTCAGGAGGGTGCCATGAATAAAACACACGTCTCCGACTTTAAGACGCCCCCTTTTTTCAGCGGACACCGCCCAAGTAACCTCTGACTTCTAAAATGTTCCAGGACTCGTGAGGTCTCTCGGGGCTGGCCCGCACTTTGGCCCCCGCCTCCTTGCCTGAATGCTGAGGGGCAGGGGGTCAACACAGCCCTAGGACTGCCCTGGCTGTCTCCTCTCGATGCTTTACATCTCTGTAATTCAGGGCAGTTTAAGAGACCACCGTTTCCAACGCTCGGGGCTGGGGCCGGGGGCTGGGGCCGGGGGCTGGGGGCAGGTCCCACCCCGTCGCAGTAGAATTACGTCAGAGCCCGGCGTCTCCACGCCCGGCAAGCGCGGGACCAGGCGCGGGACCAGGCGCGCGGCCCCAGGGCCGGGGCGCAGCGGACGGAGGCGAAGCCAACGCAGGGGAGCGGGAGCCCTGCGGCCCCAGTGCGCACGCGCCTGCCCGCCCCCTCACTGGCGGCCAATGGTCTGCCGGGACCCGCCCCTGACGACGCGGCCCCGCCCCCTGGAGACGCGCCGCCGCGGAGCCGACACCCTCCCAGGTAGCGGGTGGCTGGAGAGCTTGGCGCGGTCTGCGGTCCCGCCGGCGCTCCGCCATGAAGCTGACGCGCAAGATGGTCCTGTCCCGGGCCAAGGCCTCGGAGCTGCACAGCGTGCGGAAGCTCAACTGCTGGTGAGGCCCAGAGGCCGTGGTCGCCCCCGCGCTTCCTCCCCGCTGCCCGGCACCCCCTCCCTGGAGTAGGGCCGGGAAGAGCTGCCGGAGAAACCGAGACCCCAGCCCAGCACCCCCGCCCTGGAGCGGGGACCGCTGCCCGGCATCGCTGCTCTGGGGCGGGACCGAGGAGGGTCTGCGGAGGCTGTAGAGGGGGCAGGCACTGCCGCCTCCCCTTCCCGGCCCCTGCCCCAGGCCGGTCTGCTCCAGAGGTGCTGTGAGCTCAGGTGGCCTTGGACAAAGATCATCCCAGAATTTGCACCCCTCCTGAGTGGTAGTGTTTCACACAAGGCTCCACACCTCTCCTTGCTTGAATTATTGGGACTTACGTTGAAGGCTGGCTGTTTGGCTTCTAGATAGCTTTGGTGGGGCAGATGCTGCACTCCGTGGACAGTCTCATTTCTGAAATTGCCAGCAATAAGGTGGGAGATCAAGATGATTGACACTATTTCTAGGGTAAAGAAAGGGAGCAGAGACTCCAAAGTAATGCTTCAGTGAATGTTTTTGTAATTGAGCCCCCCGCCAGGGGCAGAGGTGTGGGGGCTGTCCCTGAGCGACTCACTGTCTGGGAGGTGACAGGTCAAGATACAGGTGCTGTGGGGTCAGTGCAGGATCCAAGGCAGGGCAGCCAGGCCGAACTGAGCCAAGGAAGGACAGAAGTGCTTCCAAACCTGCAAGTTTTACACAGGGTCACTGGGAACCCAGAACACAGCTCCACGCACCTCTGTAAACTGGGCAGGTGGGGAGTGGTGCACTCGGCCAGAAGCAGACCCTCCTCCCTCTGGTGTCAGCAGACTGACTGCAGTGAGCTCTGCCTGTTCATTAAAAAGCCTTTCTCTTTGCCCTGCACATCTGGTATTTTGGCCACAACATCCCTGTCCTTTGTTTTCAGTAATGCACGTCTTTGTTCTGCACAAGGAGGTCACCCTTCCGCTAAGCAGGGAGGAACAACAGCCCTATTTCAGGCTTTCTGAAGTGTGTCTCATAAGCCGCATGTTGAGCCCTTGAACTTGGCCTCTTACAAAGGCTCCCTTGTTTATCTACATTAGTGAGGGAATTATCCCTCTATGCAGCAGCCTTGAGAATGAGTACATCTTTGTGTGCTTCAGATGGCATAACCTCTGCCCCTCCTTAGTCTGAGAAGTAGCCCTCTAGTGTCAAATAGTTTTATCCAAAATCAGCTAAGAAACAATTTGGGGCCCCTTTGTCAGTTATCTGGGAAAGCTTGCTTTTACTTTGCCCTTGAAATCAGAGACTCTTGAAGTTTATAGAAGTTTGTCATTAATTGTTGGAACTTTTTTTGTTTTTAAATTTATGTATTCAATTTTAACAAAGTAAAAGTATGTATGTGTTTTCTTTCCCCAGGGGCAGCCGCCTCACAGATGTAAGTATTGTGCTGATCACCTCCAAATGGTCTCTGGTCCCCAGAGGATTGTTCAGGTGACCGGACCTCACTCATCCGATCCTGGCCCCAGTCTGCTTTGTTCATTTAGCAGTTTTTGTAGGGCAGCGCTGCTAACGAAAAGAAAAGTTCTGTAGCATCCAAGTTTATTCTGAAGTTCCTTCAAACATTCTCATGTGGATGAAGGGCCCCTATGTTGTGCAGAGGAGGGAGCAGTTCCAGGATGCAGACCTGCTCTGACCTGGGGAACAGCCTCAGGGGCTCGGTTTCCTTTAAGGAGCAGTGCATTTGGCTTGGGGTCTTTTTTAATAGGTTCCTGGACTTCACGTCCCCAAGGAGGTTCCTCACTTCAGCAAGTCCTCTTGGTCAGTCCAGCTTCACCCTCTCCTCCCTCTTGCCCCCACCAACGGTAGGAAGAGATAGGGCTGGGATAGGGGCGCAGCTTGTGCGGAGCTGAACTGAGTTGTGAGTCTGTGAATGCGCCGCCCCCTTCCTCTCTCACTCCTAGGATGAATGTCCCCAACTTGCACACAGTCTGGGTGCCAATCAGTTGGTTCTAAGCGACTTCTGTCTTGTAACTTGAACTATACCTTTCCTGAAAAACAAAGTTGGAAACACTGAGTGGCTGGGCTGTCCAGAAAAGCTGACTCCGCTTCATGCTCTAACTGAAATGCTGCATATGTAACAGCGAAAACAAACAAAACAAAGCAGCACCGTGGCAGAAAACACTTGTGTTGCAAGTATGAGCATCCTGGCCAGAGGGTGAGCTTATTGAGGTCGGGGCCCCGTGTGACTCCGTGCCTGGCGTCTGGCAGCCACACAGACTGGGGCTGCTCCGCTTAACAACCTGACAGGTTGGGGGGCTTCGTGAATCAGCCTGAGCCCCACCGCTCTTTCCCGCTGAGTCAGTGTTACTGTGGTCTGAGACCCAGTTCCAGGCCCGCCTCCCTATTGGCGTAGCTCCGTTGGCAAGAAGGGGCTTCTGTCCTTTGTTCTCTCTGTGTGTGTCGGGGACGGAAGGAAGACAGGCTCTCTGTCCACTGCGGCCCCTTGCTGATGTCCTCTGAGGGCATCTGAGATTAGGGGTGCTCCGTGTCGATGACTGCAGCGTTTGGTGGTAATGGTGCTGTTTAAAGTTGTAGAGACGGTGCCCGTTTCTCCATCAGCTGGGGGGACGTCTAGGCTGCAGAGGGGCGTGGGGCAGAGCCGTGCGTACTCCCGCTGGGGTGAGGGAGGCCACCCCTCTCAGGCCCTGGACGTGGGGTTGCTGGCGGCTCCAGCTAGGTTCTCCGTGGGCTGCTGGAGAGGTGTGATGCCGCTGCGCCCGCGCAGCGATGTCGGCAACCACGCTGTCTTCCCCCTAGATCTCCATATGCCGGGAGATGCCCAGCCTGGAAGTGGTCACCCTCAGGTACTCAACACCCCCCGGCCGTCACTCTTAAGTCACTGGGCTTGAAGAGGAGGAGAAGGCCCAGATCCCTCCCGCAGGCTGCTAGTCACCCCAGAGTCCCGGCCAGGCCTGCAGCCCCTTGGCCCCGCTCTCCTTCCTGGGGGGCACTCGCCCTGCTTGCCCTGCCTGTCTCCCTTGGTGAGCCCCCCGCGTGGCTGCGTCCGCCCCGATGCCTCTGTCCCTGCCCGGAGCTCGGCTGGCTTCCCGGCATCACAGGGCCGTCACCAAGAGTGCGCTCCTCTTCCAGAGTCGTTAGCATTTTAACAAGTTAAGGAGACCTTGGATGAACCAAATACTGCCTTTGGGCTTCCAGGCCGCTGGGGAGTTTGGAGGGGTCAGGGGGAGGGAGGAGCACCCTCCGCCCCTGAACTCTTTCCTGCCCACTCTGGGCCCAGGGTGGGTGCTGTGCTGCCAGAGGCGGGCAGACCCTCATAGGGCCTGAAGGTCTGCAAGGAAGGCAGGCAGTTCAGAAGGTCCCGGGACTCGCCTGCTGCTGTGGTGGTGGCCCTTGTTCTGCGCGGACCCCTGTGACTTGCCCTCCTCACCACACAGCCAGCCACCCTGCTTGTCCCCAGCTGCCCTCTGCTTGTTCTTTGCATCTTCTGAGGTCACCTTACGGGTGCCCTGCCGCCCACCTCGTGCTCTCGCACCCCCAGCCCACCCCGACAGGCTCCGGCCTGGGCCCCGGTTTCCCCACCTGTGAGGTGGGGTGTTCTCGGTCTGTCTGGGTGTGGGGGGGGTGATGACACCGCTCTGTCAGCTGGAGCCTGTGGGTCCCTGCCTGGTGGCTGGGTGATGTCCTGTCTGACATGCTCATGGTTTAAGCCCAGAACTGTGTCTTTTGTGCACACAGGGTTTGGAAGGTCAGTGCTCAGGTCTTAGTCATGTGGAGCTTACGCGTGCCATGGGTTTTTCTGGCTGCTACTCACTGTGAGGCACAGGGGTGTGTCTGGGCGGCCTCAGTCTCCTGTCCTATAAGGGGGAGACCTCGCACCCCCACGTTGACGCCCCGAGGCCTGAACGGGGTAGGGGCTGCTGCTCCCACCTG